GCATTGTCTTTGTCATTTATATTCACAGTATTCACATTGCTCAATAAACCATGTACATTCCAAGACATGTAACTAATTACTTTACCCATATCTTCATTAATTTTACCCGTGCCAGACCCCTATCTTGAAATACTAGTACCCTGTCTAACAACAGAGTCACTGGCATTGCTATAAGTATATACACACATTTTCCCACCTTCATAGCTGACAAGCTTTTTGTAGTTAACAAAGGCACGTATATTGTTTGCAATTAGTTCTTTTCTCTTTGCAAATAGTTTATTTCTGATATACCTGGTTTCTTGTGAGAAATGTTCATCAATAAAAATGTTGGTACCATGCAGTTCTTTTTTTTTTTGATAGAATGTTCTGCTTATCTTTGAATCGAACACACATTGCAATAAGTGGTCTCCTACCCCGGACTCCGGTTTCAACCCTGTGAACTCTTTCAAAATCAACGCCTGTAATATTCAATTTCTCGGCTAACAATTTCTTCACTTTATCCTCTGATTGATCCCACGATTCGTTTGGATCTTCATCTACGCCGCGTATTACAATGTTATTCCGTTTTTGACGGTCTTCCAGTTCTGACTTCTGTGTTGTTAGGACGCTTATATCATTTTTCAGTCCACCAATAACGTCTTCCAGGTGTTCTAACTTTATTCACAGTAAGTTCACTTGCTTATAATAAATCAAATACAGCATTTAAAAATATAACTGCAAGCAATAATAAGAGTGGTTCCAAGTAGCTATGGTTTAACAATCATAAATGTTTAATGAAATAATGACCATATATGATGACTTGATATTTTGGTCATATATATGGTCAGACAATACAATTATAGCACGGGTTGCATGTCCCTATCTGCAATAGTACTTATTACATTACAGTTAGGCATATTAAGAAACACATATGAAACTAATAACAGATAATTAATATGCATGGATTTCAACCCTAAAGTAATCTGATCTGTGGATTATTTAAAATCTCCTATGTACTTAGTTTCATTAAAGAGTGATCAGTGGTACTCAAGATATCTTTGGAGCATCTATATACTGGTTAATTTATGTAAATTATGTAATTAGTAAGCACAAAATTTAATCCTAAACTTAACATGTATATGGCTTATCCTTAAAAATTGACATGTGTATGTATCAAGTTTAATTGAAATCCGTTTAATGGTACTTGGAACAAATTAATTAAAAATGCTTAAAATTGGCTAAATATTATGTAAATTACGTAATTAATATGCACAGATTTCAACCAAGTCAGGTCTGCGCATTATCCCAGAGCATCTATGTATTAAGTTTCAATGAAATCTGTTTAAAGGTACAAGAGAAACAAGTGAAAATCAGTTAATTAATATGCAAATTAGGTAATTAATATCTACAGAATTTCAACCAAAAACTAGTCAAGTCTGTACATTGCCCAGAGCATATATGTACTAAATTGCATTGAAATCAGTATAATAGTACATGAGAAACAATTGAAAATGCTTAACATCGGTTAATTAATATGCAAATTAGGTAATTAATATGCAAAGATTTCAACCATAAGCTTATAAGGCCCAAGCATTATCCAATATCATCCATGTACCAAGTTTCATTAAAATCTGTTTGATAGTACAGGAGAAACAAGTGAAAATACTCTGTATCAGTTAATTAATATGCAAATTAGATAATTAATATGCACGGATTTCAACCAGAAACTAAGCAGGTCTGAGCATTATCCCAGAGCATGTATGTACGAAATTCCACACAGACCCCCCCCCCCCCACACACACACACACACACGCACACACAGCCACACTAACCGCACAGACTCCCATTGTGTGCTTCGCACACGGGAATCAAAAAGGAACAATTATCTTCCACGCCTTGGTTTAACCGAACAAAACTTAAACCGTGTCAAAATGTTTTGACTTGGAAAGCCCAATATTTACGGTTGTTTTCAGCTTCTTCATTCTTAAGCACTGGTAAACAGAACGATGTGTTTGCAGGAAGCCCACCTAGCTCTCCAGAAATTATAGGATTTGCTGTGGTTTTAAGCAAATTTAAATAAATTTACAAAACTTGAGTTGTGTTTCCTCAATATTTACTCTTTTGTCAAAACGCTAAACTTCAACGCGTACATCAATATTGGTAAAATGTTCATAAATAATAAATTTGTACATCAATGTCACTGTATTTAGATAGTTTCTTTTTTAAAGCAAAGGACATATGATTAGATTCTCAACGCAACGCAGCGCAACGCAACAATATGCTACACTAATCACACTCTTTTCTCATCACACATATCACACTTCCGACTGCTTAAATTTATAGTTAGGACTTCAACCAAATACACTAGAGACACAAGTGTCTTTGCTTCAACACAGTATAACAAATATACGTCAACACGAATGAAAGCAGTCTGATGGAGTCAGATGCTACAGCCATTGGTCTATGGCCACCGTGATGCAATATTCAATTATGCAACTGTAATTTTACAGGATTGGTTAACCAATTAGCGCACGACTTAAGAAAACAGTGTCGCCCCAGAAAAGACCCGTAACATGACGTTTCTGATTGGGTACTGACCCTGCAGAGCTTGTACACGATTTGCATAAGCTCGGAAGTGTAGACTAGTGTATCGCGCGATCACACTGTTTGTAACAACTTGTTGAGAACTCGCGTGTGATGAGAACTAAATAATCCTCATGACCATTCTATGTTGAAGTTGTGATAACGCCCTCTAGTGGCTGCCGGTCAGAATGTAGTCGTAACAGCCACATTAAAGGACTGTTCCAACAATTAATGCCTCATCTCAGAAAAAAAGTGCTGCATTTAGACGTGAATAGATTCATAAAACACGCAAGATAACAGAAAATCTTAGCTGGCTTCTGTCCAAGTATTTTGTACAGGTGTCAAAAATGAATGATTCACTGAGACAAATATGAACTGCCTTATTATATTCATTGTGTGACTACTTCATTATTTGAAAAGTAAAAAAAAAACACCCTCTATGAATAGCTATCATGTTGCAAGCTCTGCTTTGTATGCAATTCAACTTAAATAGTTAGTTGGTGTCCAGTGGAGGGAGAAGTCAACAGTACTGTTGCCTCCTGATGAGAATCTACATCTTCAAACATTTCAATCTTTGTTTTTGAAATGCGTTTGTAAATTAGTATTATAAAAGCTTATCATTCTGTTTTAATAGCTGAAACAAATTCCTGTGAATTTTCATTTGTCAAATGAACTGATTGTCAAATACAGAATACATAATTTTGAGTACAATTTTCTTTTCAAAATGTGGATGCAACGTTTTGCTTGATATGTATTTTTATGTATTATGTAGGAGTGCTTATATTGATTTTCTGACATCTTGTTTTCTGTAAAGATTTTATTGTTAGGTTTGCAAATGTGTATCAGACTGTGCAAAAACTCTCCATGAGTTGGTTTTGAAACCCAGTCTAGTATTCCCATGGGATTTGGGAGATACATTACCAAGGATATAATTACAAGATAACTGAATTGCTTCATTGAAGACATACAACAATGCATGTTTCCACTGAGATCAGTGACCATTGAATGTGTATCACCAGTGATGAATCAAAAAGAAACAGTCAAAATATTTTATCAGATTTTCTCAATTTTTGCACATTTTCATACAGGACATCTGTCATTCTTAATCAGGGAAGCTTTATACTGATGAATAAGGTGACCAAGATTGATAAAGTTTGGAATAAAATTAGTAACGACGACAGAAATTTTTCCCTTAATATACCTTCCATCTTTTATGGTACGGGCAAGGTAAAAACTGGTGCAAGTGTTTTTTGAGACAGTGCTCGGACTCCAGCAAACTGTTGACAGTAACCATTTTTTTTTCTTCACCGTGATCATGGCAAGTTACGATTATTCATGGAGAATGCAGAGCCACGTTGATATTTCACTCTAGTGCTATTGCTATAAATGTTTTCACCAACTTTTATCAATGACAAGTTACGTAAATAGTATGCATTTCGAGAAACCAGTCTGTGTGTATGCGCGGTTTGAAATGGAACATTTTTGAACACAATAAAATCACCCGTAAAACTCTGGCTCAAGCAAGAAATTGTGGCGCGATCTGGTTGTCGGTCGAATTGTTTTTCAATAGACATAATTTTAGAGCCTGTATTTTTTCAATGTGATGTTTCTAAGTTTTGTCAAGAATTATTCTGTAAAGAAAACGCTGAAATTATTTCATCTGTTTGTAAAAGGGACGTTGTTTGATGATGGCCTCCCAATCAATGACGACCGACTTTAAATCAAAACATTCCATCCAGATGGAACGGCACTCTCTTGCCAATCCCACTGATGTATTTCTATGGGATCTGCGCAACGGCTACAGAACGCAGCTCGTATAGTCTGTGAAAACAGCTAAAGTTGAGGAAACCGTTCAAACTTAATTCGGAGCAACCAAATTTATAGGTACATACGTGCGCTTTATAGTATGCATTCAGAGCTTTGGGTTTTAACAGCACCTCGTGAACAGGACATTCTCTAACTAATTGTCACATGGTAGAGCATTATCCTGATACAGCTAGTCTGACTGGCCATCGAGATGCAGAGTTGAGACTTGTCAATTTTAGAAGCAGTTGCCATCTTTTGACGTTTATGGGGAATGTTGTGTGCAACTAACCTGGAGTTCGAAATGCATTTTAAAAATTTCTATCTACCAGGAAAAATTTTCAACATTATTCACGAGTTGAAAATACAGTGAAACATTAACATGCAATGGCTTTTACACGAACACAATCATGATTGGCCAGTACACTGGGTGCTCTAAGGGCATTAAAAGTCTGATAATGCCCTGTATATTCATACAACTGAGGACTGCAGGCACCATTCATTAAATACGAGAAGGAATACACTCCACTTGTGAATTGTCCGTGTTAGATTTGAAGGTCACAATAATAACATACCGTACAAGAACATTTGTCTTAAACCAAAATTCTGATGGCATAACCAATCATGCAAATAAATGATTTGGAAATAGAAAATCTTTTATTTATCTCTAAACATCTGAAAAGTTTGGTATGACAAAAATACAATAAAAGTAGATGGTTGTCATTTTACAATAAAAAGAGGACTGATAGTTGACATGATAAATGGGTAAAACTGAGTAATCCTTTACAATTGTCATCCAAAGAGGTAGCTATACTAATCTAAGCCCGACTATTTCTTGCATAACATTGTAATAGACTTGTAATATGATTGCCACGGTAACACCCTTCTCAACTTATATTATAGAAACGATAAAAAGACAATAATATAGACAAAATGAGTGGGAATTGGCAAGACTCATCCCAAGGTTTTAAAAAAACAAACAAAACATCAAAAGCATCATGTTTCCAAGGCAATGTAATCAACGCTGTTCAACTGAAATAAAAGAAAAAAGTACATTATTAGACCACAAATTAAGTGTGAGTGGACATTTGGCAATTTTAGTTGATGCAATGGTAAAACATTATCTCTATTATAAATAGTATATTTAATGCAATAGGCATTGGTTTTGTTTTTTGCATGCAAACACTCAATGTCATATTTGCCATGTTTTTTTCAG